AGACTGAGTGCCACGTCCGTGCCCCGTCAGCTCATTCCATCCAAGCATGAATGAACAGAATTTACCAGAGCAGTTGGGGTGTGAACTTCAATATCGATTATCCAATCACTCGGCGCTCCGATAATCGCAGCCACATAACTCATTGCGCTAACTCATGCGGTATTCGTTATTCCCCGATGAAAACCCTCGCGTATTTTAAAATCATTCCAACAATGGGGCATTTTCAAGTTCAGTATTTTTCCTCAATGCATACATTGGGTTGCCTCTATTTTATGAGTTGAGCAATGAAATGGACACAGCACGGAACAGGCTTTAATTTTTTGCCTCCTTGTTTGCATCGAAGCGGGTAAAACCTTTGGATAGGATTATTTCATTAACTTTTTCCGTGGGAAATGAGAGGAAAAATTGCAGTATGCAGAGGCAGTGACACCCCTGCGCCTAGCGATCTGATCTATGCAACGCTCTCGAGTTCTGTAAGGTGAGAAAAATCTTAATTCTAGAGGAACCGTCCACTCGATACAATGTGAGGGCGAAAAATCATTTTATTCATGAATGAAAGTCAATTCCCGAGACCTTTGGCATCAACCGTTGTGTCGCCAGATCGCGATAAGATTGAAATGACGAGGGACAAATGACCTATCCTCTTCTGCGGATGGATATCGCTGACAAAATTGTGAGGGAAATGCAGCCCCTAGATTAAAATATACAAGAATAAAACCCAAGAAGAATTCAAAAATTGATGATTTGCCGGGTCACATAGATATATGTTGTCACATCAATCGAGTCAATCACATTAATCTATACGCTAGATATCGACTTACTTCAGGGCTCGCTTTAACTGGTCACGGTTCGTTAAATGTTGAAAACGGGAGTGGACGTTACTTACTGGGCCATGGCCTATAACCACGATTTACCGATCGTCGAATACGTCCAGAAAATGCCAGCTATAATAGGCCTGAATGCCAAACGACAAACTGCTATTAGAAAAGAATATAAACATTTTCGGGATTGGCATTATTCACTTAGGAAAAGGAGAAGAACTATTTGGAATTTCGATAGAGTTTTGTTCCCATTGAGGTGAATCAATTGTTGAAGGTATTTCGACAACTCCTCGCCGTTACAGTCTACTACATTTTGATTCCGGTGTGCTATCGTTGAGAGTCAGAACCACAGAAACGTTACGGCTAAAAGCCAAAGCAACTAAAAAGACAGGGAGGAGAAAAGATATGTGTAGAATTGGTGAGGGTGGGCGGCAAGTTACCCCCTTTCAACGATAGGAAATCGCGTGAACTCTCGTTTCTCGTCGTTGGTTCTATTAGAACTCGGATCTAATCTTCCCTGGAATTGGATTCTCGTAACGCGAGACGATTTGGAGGTTCCAGTGGTCTCAGGTCGCCGTATTCGATTTTCCGTTGTTACCTAACATCCACCGACAATCGCCGATGTTAGTTTTTTCATTTCTTCGAGCATTTCACTTCTCTTGGTTTTTGGTAGGAAAAATTGGTTGAGTAACAAGAACAATAATAAATGAGAGGTAAACAAATGGTTGTTGAATTAATAAATACCATATACATTAAGGATGTTTAACCGGTCAAGCGAGCAACCGCGTCGGAAAATAAAATTGAAAAATTCAAATAAATCATCTACGATATAAATAATTTCTTCTATTCATTTTCTCGCGTATTGCAGCGGGTACAATATTCCTCATATTGTTAAGTGAATGAGTGGATTTTTTTTTATCATATTGAGTGCGTAACCTAGTGCCATTTTCAATCAAAGCTAACGTGGCCACGTTTTCCCATACGAGTCTGTATTACAGACAGGTGATTTCACCAATTATTATCGCGCTAAAATCGTTTGATCGAGGGATCAAAAATGGCAGTCGCGTACAGTTCATATTCTCGGCTATTATATAAAAAAAAAATCTACACTGTATTGAGTGCTGTTCGCATCGGTTAAACATCCGCCATTAATTAATATAGATGATTATAGTAAAATTTATTCAAGATTTCTGTGCGAAATGGAAATATTCAATGATATGTAGATAGAGAGCTTGTAGGACATAACGTTTATTCAAATATCGACCACTTCATATGAATTCTCTATTTTTATCTGCTAGTTTACCAATTCTCAAAATTGCAAAACTGGAAGTCCTGAAATTCATATTCCACTGATTTTTCCGAGTAAAATTGCAATTGCAATTTCAGTATGTGCGTGCTTCCCGGAGATTTTTATGGGAAAATCGTCGAGGTAAATTGTAGTATTTGTATCGATACAGCATGCTAAACGAAACGATTTTGCACGAATCATCCGTTGTAGATAATTCATTATTGCAGATTTCTCGTCATTACCACTTTCACTGGAAACTATATTCTTTTAAACGGTGTTTCATGGTTAAATCCTTTTCACCGGTAACAAGCGTACATATTTTCGGGAAAATATCTCCTAGTTTTTTTCGGCTAGATTTATAAAACTCAAAATATCGCAAAGAAATGAAAAATCCCTTGCTCTTTTAATATAAGGGCCTTACATTATAATTCTAAGGGACTATTATGGCGTTTATTGCAAATTATGGCGCTATTATATGGAACAAAAGGTTGTGTGTCTACTCTACAAACTACCAATCGATAAGTAATGTGTGATAATCGCTCGTCAAAGTTGATAGCCCGATTCAAGCATCATGTCACTCTTCCAGTCTTACTGAATATACGACCGTGTGCAACTTGAAATCGTTATCTGTCCTAACTTCAGTGTATTCTTTATGAGAATAGTTTCCGTTAATGTTTGTCATGAGTCCATCGATCATGGAGTTAATGTGAAACATTTTATCAGACTCTTGGAGTGCAGACCATTGATCTTTAGGTAGCAGTTGGATAGTCTGTTGTTTATTTTCATGATAAAGTGTCATGAGTTTTGAACTTCATTTTCATAATAAATATACATTTTTTAGATACCCCGTTGGAAGTTCAAACTCCCTTCTAGCTCCTTCAGACTTTACAGTGCGACGGTAAATATTACCCAAGGGCGCAGTTCAATAATTCCCACGGAATCGAACGCTGATAATTATCAAATGATTAATTAGTTCAACAAATTCGTTATATAATCTTAAATAATTATTCGAGCTGCATGCACCTCGGATCAAATTGAAATCAATGAAAGTCCAGTTTTCAATACATTATAAATTTTGAGGAAGAATATATCTCTGAATTACCAGGAATTTCCCTGTCATTACGATGGGCCAGATTTGGAATACACATAATTTATGAGGAACAATCTGGAGTTCGGAGTGCAACAAGGAATTGCACTTTGGATCTTCATAAATAAAATATCTCCCTAAATGAGACATTTCGATAGATTGAACACATTTGTTGCTTGATGGAAATAGAGAAGTGCAAATAAAGCATATGTCTAATTCTAATTCCATTAGTAAGAAAAACAATAAAAAATAAAAAATATCGATGATGGAATCTGGAGAGTTGCGAATGTCCAACATTGTAAATCACAAACCGACATAATTAATTTCAACTGAGTGAGAATTGATTTGATATGAAGTGAGTTACACATTATCGTAGCCATTACATTGAAATGATTAATTAAGTTTTCGACGGCACTTATAAGGATTGTGGTCAATTGATTTCCGGCCAAAGGCTGCCATCAACATAGAAACGTACGGGCTAACGGGTAAGCACTTGCAGTAGAACTTGTTTGATAGTTGGCAAAAGCCAGGAGTGCGTTTGGATTCCCTACAGAGACTTGGACGGTGAGAGTCCAAGCGTTGGGAGTTGCCATAAAACGTGAGTAACTTTTTCATTTTATAACCACCGAACGCCTTTTTCCCCCAGCACACGTGGTAGTGCTACAGGAACTATAAAGTCACTCGATGAACTTCAATTTGCTTCATCGATCTCTCGACTCATTACCATTTTACGTATTCTACAACGAATAATCCAGCCGATATATACTGAAAAATAATGAATTCCGCAGTAAGGAATACTGGAAAATGAATGAAGGCCTTCCAGTAGTAATTAATGCCATAATTTCTGCTGAGATTTTGCTAAAATTCACTGAGATGTGAATTAAACCAGGTTTTTCTCTCAATCCTGGATTTTCTGAAAGGATTAACAAAAATGGTGTGGTTGTTTGCCGCTTTTTTTTCTCTTTATTTACTGGTTGCTTTTTTTCAACATTTTCGACACGATCCCTGGTTTCTGCTTCTTTTTATACGGGATTTCAAAGCCTCTGAGGAAATCTTCAAACAGACCTCGGCTGTGGCTGTACTCGACGCAAACCGTGAAGGAATTTGCATCGCCTATGAACCTCGTGTTTTTGCAAATGCCTTCCTTCTATGCGTTATCCAACTGGCTGGGTCGTACAGACAACCTTTCCTCTATGAAAGGACGACAACCAGGAGAGATATCGATGTCGACTGTGCAACGTCAACGGAGAATTCGCATAGAAACTGAGAGGAGGTGGAAAATGGATGAGGAAAAAACCACTACGAGAGCTAAAACGATGCTCCCTGAATTAATTTCCCTGATGAATAATGAAGTTATTGTTCTGTAACGTCGAATTCACGTGAGAATTCAGTAACGAATGCGAAAATCGTCATATTCTCTTCATCCCTGGAATTGATCTTGATAAAACACAATAACTAATCCCTTCGCAGGTGCATCCCGACTTTATTATTGATTAATATTTCTATTACAGATTTTACCCAATAGATAAAACTGCGAATTTCACATTCATTGAGGATTTATGCCGGCTGAATCGAGCATTAGGATTATGCATCCTCATAATTAATCAACTGCAATTATGATGGATGGCATCATCAAGGCAACGAACTGGATATTTCGATTCAATTAATTAAAGGGTGATTAATTCTTCTATTATTTACACAGAGTAAAAAATGGGATCTCACATCAATTTTCCATTGGAAAAACCAAAGGAAAAATTATTTGACAGAACAATAAGGAGCGCATAATTTCACCAATAGCTCTTACCTTTTTCTTGCCTGAGTTTTCTGGACTCTCCGTCTAACTATTGATTATCAAAATAATTATCTTTTAAATTTCCTTACATATGATGTGTCCGTCCGCATGAAAAGCCTCCACTTTGTCAATTTAGATTTAACGGCATAGGTGACGGGGCCATCTCAGTTGAAAAATCGTGGAGTTATAGAAGTTTGAATTTGAATATACGGAAAAGAAAAAGAAGTGGGCCCTTTTCATGTGGACGGCCGCAAATAATGACTAGATATCATTTTGGGTACCTTTCCATTTTAAATGGCTAATTTTGTCTTAAGGAGATAGCTTTGTCGATCATCTGAGACTTGAAACATCAAATTAGTCGATTTGTCTTGTTTGTCTTAGAGTCCACTAGAGCACATATTCAAAGTTCCGCGGCTGCCAAGTTCCAACATTCTATCAATATGTCTTCTAATAAATTAATGTAAACAATATGTAAAACGGTCAGTTCGTCAGAAGATATGAGCTTTATAAGTAGCTGTATTTATATTCCATAATATTGAAGAAACAATTTAACTTCAAGTCTGATTAAAAAAAATAAGTGAAAAGAATTTATGATTTTGAATTGTCTGAATTGACTTCCGAAAGTTCTTGGGAATTAAATTTTTTGGCGTAAATTTAAAAGGAAAACCTGAACACGTTGAGAGATTTAAATTCTTCAATGGATTGAGGAAGGATAGTATGTTTACGTGCACTATTTTGGTTATTATTGACTGAATAACAATAATTTAATCGAAATTTCCAGTAAATGGTATTACATTGAGCATTGTCAATTTTTTATCGAATAGTGAACGATGGAATTTTAGAATATGAATGTACCAAATCAATTATCATTCCATGGCAGTCGTTTTATTCAGGCAGAATTAGGACAAGTTCGGTCTGTATTTTGAGTTGATGCCGAACTTTTGGGTGATGATAATAAAAGACTGATAACTATAATGGTAGAAGAAAAGCATACTGTTCAAAGATTTTCAAACTCTCTTACGGGACTTTTTTCTCATATCCGTAGAAGGATCTTCAAAATCTTTTGATCTTCCCGAACTTCTGATACTCGGAAATCTATAGCAAGTCGACGTGACCGGGTGTCAATTATGTCTGGAAAAAGTTGCTATACTTATAAAGCTCACAAACTTAATGTTTCTGTTTCTGATAAGAAATAGTGGGAATGATGGAATTGAACTTGGAGCATAACGACTAAGAATAATAATTTGAAGAAATATCCATTGACATTCCCCCTGTATGGAGTAGCTCTCATTAACCACTATGGTGTACAGTCTATTCAAGTTCTGTCACTCGAGCCACAACATAGTGTTCCAAATTCTCCTAAGTTGCACCACAAACACTCGCGGTCGTGTCCACACAGGATCAAGGGGAACCCCAGTACAACTCCAGGATTCAAAGAGTCAATTCGAACATTCTCGTGATATATTTATTTACTCACCATGATTCTGCGCGATTATTGGGTTGATCGCCACCAACAGGACGAGGAAGATAGGAGTCATATTGACCACTCTCTTCCCTGTCCTAACGCTCGCGCCACTCCACAAATCAACACCAAATTTTTCCTTGTGGTATTACCGCACCTGAGGAAAAATAAATTCACCAATGTCAATAATCATACCGCTCTTCGATCATTATTGATGCTAATCACGTCTCAACGAGATTCACCAACTCTTCATCCGTAGTTAATGATGATTAAAGATGTATGGCACAACACCAAATAATCAAATCATATGAGGGAACGGTATGGAGTTGCAATAGTTGTAAGTAAAAAAAATAATCTTTATTGTAAGAGTTGCACGACTGGCTGGCCTCAATGCAATCAAATCTTTTATGGAAGGAAACACTGATAATAAAACTGCTATAGAACTCCGGTCACACAATCAGTTTGCATCATATTATAGAACATCTGATATTCCAATATGAGAGTTAAATCGTTCTATCTATGGAATGATTTCGCCCCGAATATTTACACAATAATTATTCTAATTTGTCAGTATTGATATTTGTCATTGACTCATTTTATAATGGTTGAGTACGTATTCATGAAATTTTTTCATTCTCACGTCATTACATTCGATTGCCCGAAAACGTCACAATGATTTCAATACTCGTGAATCATTGTCGTGCACGTCCGGAAATTAAAACAAGAGTACACTCAGTGGAGAGCACTGGACGCTAATGGTTTATTTTTGTTATTGTACAGCGTATTCCACTTGGTTATACCGCATTCCAGCTATATGATAAATGCCACCGCAGCAACTATCATATTATCACTACTCAGCTTTCTTTCTGTGATTCCATGACCATTCCATATTTTTCGTATTCTGTGTCAAATTTTCCACGTCACTTGATTCTCCAATAAATGTAATGTCCACTTCCAGTACTTATGGTCTCACATTTCCAACTCAATTAATTTTTGTAATAATAGAAGACGTATTTAAATTTCACCTTACATGATTCGAAATAATCCAATTTCTCAATAATTTGTCGTATGGCTTGGGAGAAATTGAAAAAGAAGAAGTGTCATTTTCTATTGGCTAAGTAGTTTTCTCACTCAATTCGACTTTTTTATCGAATTTTATTTTCTCCACTGCACATTCTTCTTTCCATCAAATCTGAGGAATGTTCCTAATGGTCAACGTCTTGTGATGCTGAGGGGGAACAGCCCAACTTTGAACCGATGAGGTTTTCCGTCGTACAAAAACTTCACAAAGTCACGAAAATGGTGACTCCAGAGGGCTTTCGTTGGGCTTCTTTTTTATCGTGATATACTTTACGGTGGCTATGACGGAACGCTCGATTGATACATCGATAAGGTCTCAATATTTCTTATGGATTTGATTATCCACAAAAGAAGCAAGCACGTTGTTTCCTTTTTTCAGCCTGAAAATGTTGCGATTATTCACTCTTCGTTCACGGTGGGGTCTACCGTATCACAATGTGTCCAATTGTCGACGAAAAATCACCTTTTACAAAACTTTTCTTTGAAACTGATAAAGACGTGTCAAGTAACGTCACAAAACTCCTTCAGCTTTTATCCAGGATAGGAAAAATAATTGGTCTTCGAGTTTCGTGTAGTGTTTCACATCAATTTTCCTTTTGCCTTTCTGATGCCAAAATTTAAAAACGATGGAAATTGATAATACGTATTACAAATATGTCTCTCAGCTTCTGATTATATTCACTAACATGTGTTACGAGGCGCAACTTAAAGGTGATCAAATCAAATAATTTGATCTATTCCGTCATAACTCTGTCACTTGGTGTGGTCACTTTTGTGGTCATAGCACGTTCACAGAAACTCATTAATTTTCTCATAATCCCAATGCTAGTTCTCAAGTATTCTCTCGATCCTCTGCATGACATTGTCAGAATTATTTCAGCCCCAGTTCTCGCAGTTTCTCCCCGTAATTGCTGTTCACCAAAGCCGAAGTCTACAATTTCCGTCTTTACAACTTGGTTGCTCGTAATCGAAATAATTCTTCATGACTTGTAATCTCAAAATTTCTGTTATCCCAATTAGAAATGCAATTTCCGTTTCAGCTAAACATGCTCTTTGTCTATTATGCAATAACTAAACACCATCAGCGGTACTCAGTCGATCTCAACCGAAACAACAATTCGTTTTCGAAACTCCAACCAACCGAGTCTAAAGAGAACACTTTCTTTTGAAAACCAAGCCGATGGATCTCAATAAACAATGAAGATTGTGGTAAAAAAATTTGATTTGAGTGAATGTGCGCTTGTGCTTTAGAAATTTAATTAACAAAGGGGTGAAAAGAGTATCGAATTAAAAGTGACCGACATTATCGTGAGCTCCGACACGGGTACTTTTCTGAGCGCGCGCTACGGCCAGACTGACTTACCCCCGTGCACCCCCAACTACCCTTCCACACCTCTCAATCCCCACGCCGGCGCAGGACGATGCAGGACCCTTTGACATTATTATCCCAGTGCCCATTTCAAATCATTATACATATTACTAATTATTCCAATCCCAACGTCGTCGATTATCCTGTCAATTTTAATGATGACAGTGAGCTATTGCCAACTGAATCTGCGCTGCGCATTTAGAAAAGAAGAAGTTATTAGAAGTCCCCCAATTTTTTTCAAAACTGCAGGTGTTAATCGTTATCAACTGATTACCACTACCGATAATATCGCAAGAAGATAGCTTGCGTGCTCATCATGCTGGTGAATAATAAAGAACTATTTTTCGGCGGTCAAAATTTGCGCATGCGTTATCACCGGAACGAAGTAAGTTGAGGGTAAGCTCTCGTCGGACGCCGTATCGCAGTTTCTAGTCTGATGCTTGTTCGTGTACAACGCGCAGGGGATATTTCTCTCCGCACGAGATATACCACCGAACGATGTGCCCAGAGGTTCTCTAGTTGGGAATAAATTAAATTAAAAAATGCGTATATTAGCGAAGCTGTGAAGAGTGTTATATATTGACAGTAGAAGTAAAATATTGAGGGGACGTGACAACGCCGACAGAGACTCAAGGTAAGTGCATGGCACTTGTGGATTTGCATGAGGTTGTAAATCGTCTCTTCGACTTTTCATCGATTTTTTTTTTAATATAGGAGGAAACGAGTTTAAATTGACGTTCCTCGAGTCTTAGTGGGGATAGTAATCTTGAGCCGATTAGAGACTTTACTGTGAACACAACCACGATTGACATTTGTCAGCCAATTCCTACTTCACAGAGTACATAGAGACACGTGCGTTTGAAGTGCAGTCATAGTTTACTCTTTCTCTATCATACTTCAGACATGTGTGAGGGTGATATTTAATGGAAAGGAAGCTATAGATAAATTCTCACTCTTGACAATGCCCGTGTATATTGTACACTCAATATCTGTGGACTTTTTCTCCTATAATTCTACATTTTTTCCAGTGTTCTGACTGACAGTCGAAATTATTCAGTATTGGTAGCTCAAGATCAATACAACTTGCGTTGATTATTGATAATTGGAAAGGATCATCGGGTGGGGATTGTAAGAGTAAATTAGATAGAAAACAAGTAGGTAAATGTTTTATGAAGATCCTCTGTGGAATACTCGTGGCGCTCATCGATGGTATGAGGCAGTTTCAATTTTTGTTCATTACCCTGATATTAACATGGCTGAGACGGTAAACGCAAAAGAAAAAGCCAAGGCGGGAGAATAAACGAAAAGAGGATCGAGCCGTCGGGCATGCCGCTGGACAATCGTGGACTGTGGTGCATTCCAACGACTTATGAATAAACATTCGCCGCGACAACCCGGCGGAAAATTACTCGTGGAAATACAAGAAAACCCGGCGGGTCATAGTAGTCGCACCCCACATTTTCTTCATATTCTTCTTTTTCTCTTTCACTTCCTATTTTCGCTACGCGCTTGAAATTCGGTTTCACATAAATAGTAGACGACCGCTCATCAAAAAAAATACTCGATATTAAAGTTTTTCTATCAATTTTCCCCATTTCTACATTAACAAATGATTCTATTTGGGACTATTTCACGAATAACAGTGATGGATGTGAGATTAATGTTTTTCCCGGGGTAAGAAAATATGAAACCTAATCAATTGCACCCTGTGATTGATAGTAGGCAGAAAGGGGCAATAATATAGTCGTGTTGTCCGTCACGACAACTGTAGTGCGAGTTGAAACGATTCGAGCAGTGACGATCAACTCGTGGCTCTTAATACTCCACTTTGCCCTCACCTGTTTCACCCAGCTTTATCCTATTCTTGTTTTAATGGTTGTGATCACGAAAGCAGTTAAAAATCGAGATTTACCTTATGCTACGTGCTGCACGGAATTTATTCTACAATACGTATACGTAATTGTATAAAACAGCCAAATATATTGAGTTGAGTTCATCTCATAATTTTGAGGATGTCGATTTTTAGTTTTTCTGGGAAATTTCTTGTCTTTCATGTCAATCAAGTAAATTATTTAAAACTTATTGGAAATCAATTTTCATCGAATGAGATTGCAGTCATTAGTCGAGAATTGATACCGATAATTTCCAGCTCGTTCTATTCCACTTCTTTTTTTCTCTTTATTCCAGTTACAACCACTTGCTCTTTATTTCTTTCGTACTATCTCGAAGTGGTAAATGCAAAGCGCAGTCAAGTAGCGTGGGTATTTTAATTGGACTAGGCAGACGAGATTTCTCTGACAGAAAATCTGAAGAACCAACTGATAGAATCGTTATAAGTGCAATACAAAGAATGTTCGTAGGATACACCAACTGTGAGTGAAAAACTTTTCTAGGTGAAAATATCAAGTAATTTACATTAAAAGTTTAGTATTGCGCTGCTATATTTTTGCACGAGAAGATATCGAGTTGCCATGTTCTCAAGATTAGATGGGATTTATTTTGGACAGATCGTTACGGTCGAAAAAACACCAAAAGTTTTGGAATCGTCGTCGCTTTCACAGACATTGGATTGTTGCATTCCCTCAAGTTGACATCCATACAAGGTAAAACTTCCTGCATTCTCAAAAGAGATAATACGTCGATCCAATGTCTTTCCAACCAGCGACGATTGCAAAAATCCTGAGATTTTACGAGACCATGACGACCTT